GAACCTCACGATCACCAGAGTCGAATGCCGTCTTAAGGTCGAGAAATAATACGATTGTGGGGCGCCTGAATGTGTGCCTGTGTTCTAGAACCTGACGTAGTGTGAATATCTGGTCTATACAACCACGTCCAGGTCGAAAACCAGCCTGATTTTCTCTAGTCTGTTCTTCACGAGCTTTGGTTAGGCGTCGAAGTATTATTGAAGCTAATATTTTAGACACTATATTAGTCAAACTGATTCCTCTGTGATTGTCACAAGAGGACTGTTGTCCTTTCTTATAGACTGGCACAATCAGTGATTGAAACCAGTCAGATGGGATTACGTCCAGTTCCCAGATTCCACCTAAGACCTCAGTCAATCTCACTGCTAATACTGGACTGCCATCCTTATAAACCTCAGGGGTAAACCTGTCAGGGCCTGCTGCTCTCCCGCGCTTCAGATTTCCTATAGCTTTTTCAACTTCGTAAGGAGTCGGAGGACTTACATCAACTTACCATCCAAGTTGACTGGAGACCGTGGGAAACCAAAGTGTGGCTGAAGGCCAGTTGAACTGATCCCTAAAGTGTTCTGCCCATCGATCCAATCTCCTGGATTGAGAATGTATAATATGTCCATCTTTCTCTGAGATTGTTTCGCTAACAGTCGGGTTCCTAATACCGGTTTCCTTAACAAGTCTGAACAAATGTCTGCTATTAGCTATTACCGCTGCCTTTTCCGTCTCTCTTGCTTTCGCTACCCACCACTGTTCACGATCACTGTGTAGGCTTCTTGTTAGCTTGCACCTAATCTGACTCCGCTTTTCGTTATGTTCAGATCCATATGGAATGAGTTTTCGAGCATCTATCAGTGCAGTAGATGCTGCTGAGATCCAGTGTTTCTCCCTAACCTTATGGTTTACCTTACTAGCAGATATCACTGCTGTTTCCACAGCTTTCCGGATATCATTCCACGCTGCTTCGGGTTTGACATCACATACATGGCTGCCTAACTATTTTTCTAGTTGTTCCTGAAATATACTCTTAGCTTGACTATCATTAAGTAGGGCCCTAAGAGGTTTCCTTGCAGTGTCTTTTCTACGTCCAGTAAGACGCAGACAAATACGCGCTCGCATTAGAGCATGATCTGAATCTAGGCATGTGCTCCAGAATGAGCGACAGTCTTCTATCGAGCCCCTCCATCGTTGGCTGATAGCGATGTGATCTATTTGGGTCCAACGTTGGGACGATTTCGGGAGTCGCCATGTTAAAAGATGATCTACTTATGCTTAAAGTTAGTATTTGCAAGAAACGAGCGGTTATCTGAGCATAGCTGCAACAGGTGGTCGCCATTATCTGTTCTTTGAGCCACGACGCCACCCGGGTGTATTTCCCTTTCGCTTAGTTTACCTACTTGAGCATTAAAGTCACCAGCAGCTATCACTACATCAGAACGCCTAGCTTTTCGTAGAAGGTCGGAAAGCTTTCCGTAAAACTCATCTTTTACATTATCTGAGCTGCAGTCAGTGGGAGAATTGACAGAGACCACGAAGAGGAAACGACGAGTGTCCCTATCTTTACGAGTCCTTACTGTTCCGTTTAGTCGGACATCACAAAAACGACTGTCTACTGGGATCCACTCTAAGAGAGCCTGTTCTGCCCTAGGACTCAATACTATACCTACGCCGGCGAGGCCACGAGAAGCAGCATCTGGGCTTCCGAATACACGAAGTGTGAGTCGAGTTGGTTCTTTATTTTGACATGGTGATGTCAAATGAATGACGTTACTCGGATCCTGGAAGCGCGTTTTGGAGACGCAGCACACATCGATGGCGTGAGATTCTAGAGTCCTAGCTATGGAAGCCCGTTGTCCTATTTGGCTGTGTTCGGACGTTAAAAGCTTCAACATGTAGTTTAGAGCGTGGTTTCAGGAGGCCAGGAATAACGTTCCGCGTACTGGAATCGTTTGCACTAGCGGTGCGAGGTGATAAAGGGACGTGAGGAGGGTTAGTCGTGGAGATAAGAGAGGTATTAGGAGATGCAGGAAAGATTTGAATGTGACCAACTTGCTCTCTTGTGCTGTTACGGGCATAAGGGCTGATGTCACTTCCCGGCTGCCCACACCGTGGAAGGGTATTTCTTGAGGAACCTGAAAAGAAAGTTCGATTAATGTTGGTCTTGACGACCTGGGAGCGTGACCGCAGAGCCCAAGGGACAGCTGTTTGCGGCCGGCCGCGTACGGCCTTTACGTGGGAGGTTTTTAATGTGTTAGCTCCGTTCTTCAAAGGGCCTGTTATAATCTCTTTCTTCTTACGGTTATGACCCAGCTATTCCTATTGCTTAGTATTCTTGGACACCGATTCACTCGACAAGTCCCCAAATCAGAACACGGTTGAACAGGAAGGAGATTATATTCCAAATAACTAAGTTAGATGGAAGCAAGAAGCAAGTCAGAAGCACAATAGGGAAAAACGTCAGTATATTTATAGTTTTTACATAAGAAGATTCCAGAATATTCTCCAACTATCGACTAGCGCTGATTGTATAAGAATTAGCCAATCAGCGTGCACCAAAGCAATCATGCATTGAGCATGCTTTAATCTAGTCTATGTCCCGCTAACAGGGCCTTACCACCGGAGACGAAAATCCGTGAGGTAAGGTGAGGTGTGACATTTTTACGGTCGACCTTTTGTGACCCCTTTCTTCCTTGTGAGAAGGCAGCATCGCTGCGGATGCTGGTTGCCCGAGGGAAACACTATTGCTGTCACACCCCTCTACAGTCAGCAGTACAACTTTGCCCTCAGACCTTGAGTTGCTGCTTTTAGTCTTACCGTTCTCCAATCGACCTGCCTGGTATGGTAGAACCTGCAGGAACATATGTTCCAGCCAATATAGCTCGGTTGGGTCATCACGATAGGCAAGCCCGACCACCGCGTCAAGGTAGCAGCTACGTTCGGGGTTATACGGAGCTAAAACTTGGGGAACTACCACAACTTGGAGTCTCAAAGGCAAAAGGAAAAGAGGGAAACCAAAGGGAAAACACATGGGGCTGGAAACCCTAGACAGACATCAGAATGAATAGTACTTGGCAACAACTGGAAAGGAGAACCCAGGACAAAGTTGTGTTAGTGATTCCTGATCAGTAGACTATCCTCTGAGAGGGGTAAGAGGGGTTACAAGAAGAAGAAACAGATAGGTAGATGTGGGCTATTCGTTACGGTAGTCATCAGATAGTCTTTACAGATTGGTTTCGACCATAGGTAGTTTAATTATTTTTATTTATTTGATGAACATAAATGCAGTACAATCGAGCACCAAAAATACAATTCGAATAGTGTTAATATTATTAAGATAAGGAAGACCTTGAATTACGAAAGCTCATTGCATTAATGTGAAGACTATGATGAAAAAACGACATATTGGACCCCAACCTATAGAATGGTAATAGACCGATAGATGCTAGTCTTGAACGACAACTAGCATGATCCATGTATGTCAATCTTTCAGGGATGTTGGCACTTCCCACGCATTTGAATATCAAAACTATTCTTGATCAAAATGGAATTAAATTTGTTTTTCCATTGTTATTGTTTTTAAGCACACATTTATAACGGAATAAATCTCGTGAACTTGCTGCAGTAGATAAGCCTGTAACATCGATGGATAGTATAGTTTAGTCGGACTTTCGTATTTTCAAAAAACGATGTATAAAACCTCACATTAGCCGCACGACTCCATCAAACATTTCAGTCTTATCAAAATTTTCCCAAATGGATTCGATGGTAAAGCCATTGGTAGTACAAGAAATTTTGTTTATTATAATTCCTGACCAATATAAAGCAAAGGGACAAGTCTCTTAACCTTTTTCATATGCTCCAGCACAAATGTTTACGATTATTCCAAGCGCTTTATAAAATGATTGGCAAACTGCTTTTAGACCTCCAACAACAGAAACGAGTCACTTTAGATGAGAAGCATCCAAACTTCGATTGAGCTAGTTGAATTCACAGTTCTTGTGTCTTCGTCATAACGACTTACTACAGGCAGATTAGACCACCGCCACCAAATTAGCATATTACCGGTTAGATATGTAAGTTTTTAACCACAAATTCTTATCTAATTTACTGAACATCGGTTACTTCGAAGAATCATTACTCAGCTATACTCCTAGCACCAATCTTATTGATGAGCAACATAGACACTTTGCTTTCTTAATTTGAATAAATTTCCCCAAACGAAGTTTTCATTTTCATCTCACCTAAGTAAACAAATGTTCTTAGTAGATATCGAGTAAAAGTTATACTGAGATTACTATAATCTACAGCTGCATTTTCAGTATGATCTGGTGATAAGTGAATAAGTCAAAGTATATGAAAACGCGCTTCAGTCCTGCCCAACAAGAGCGACATAGACAGAGTCTCTAGATGATGGAAAATAAATTAATGTTGTTCATATAAACTTCATCAGAGCACTTGATATGGTGCCCATTAACAGACTTCTCATGAAGCTGGAAAATATAGTAATAGCTGAACCTCTCCTAAAGTGAATTTCTTAGTAGGCCGTGGTCAGATATCAACAGAAAAATACGATTGTTCCTCCTAGAAACCAGTACTTAGTGGAGTACGCCAAAATTCTGTCATTGGCATTTTACGTCTTAATCTGTATGTAAATGGGTTCCCTTACGCTATTCTATGCTAATATGTGAAAAAATTTGCGGAATACTACAGGAGGCACAGAAGCACATGCAATTTAAATGGGCTCAGATGTTTTGATTAGCTGTTCTTAAAAAATGGCTTATGCTTATCAACGTGGACAGGTGTATCTACGTAAACGTTAGGGATAAAAAGTTAAATCAGCGCAGTATAGTGAAAAAGTCAGTTCCCGTGGTTCGGTCTAGCAATGATGTTGGGGTAACAGTGAGGCATGACCTTAAAACTACGACACATTTACCGTGCCATGATCAAATGTCAATTCCAGTTTGAGTAGTCTTGGCTCCGTATTGTTATCCAAGGCTGGCGGTCAAGCATACAGACGACCTTGGACTGATGCTTAGCCAAGTTCGGATTATACCACAAAACACTGAGGTGTCAAAGTACGTTATGTTAAGTGATTAATATCAGAGATACCATAGTGTGAAGGCAATGTAGCGAATATACATTGATTTTAGACAGGGAACTTTTTCAGCTATCACATCCACTATCTACAACAGGTGGTTTGGGATGTTCACCCCCAACTCGATGTGGACGGTCATTGGGACTTCTTACTGCACATGCTCTTACGTGCTACAAACCATTCAGTTCCTCAAACGGTTCCGAAAAGCTGAGAGCAACCTACAATAATCAAGAACCGTACCCTTTGTCTGCTAAGCCGCAAAAGGCACTGTTGGGCGGAATAAAAACGAACTGACAATGACGGAGCGTACAGGCAATACAAACATATAAGGAACATATGCACGAAGGCTATAAGAAAAGATAGGCTTCAGTACCAGATAAAGCTTATGAATAAATTTGTCTCTAATCTGAAAAGCTTATTTCGTTATGCAGCCTCTCTTCGTCAAGCCAAAACTGGAGTTTCCCAACTGCTAGGTCCTAATGGCCCGACCAACAACGATGGCGACGCCGCCAACCTTCTGGCTGAACGCTACCAGATATTTCAACCGACCGACATCAACTTTACTGATGACGGTTTCATCTGCAATTCAACAGGACTTTCCGAAGTGAACTTGAGCGCTGACTTGGTGTTCCGGAAACTGCACACCGCTTAGCGTGATGTTCTCACACTCGCTAAGTCGAGGAAAACTACCGGAAAAATGGAAGCTGGCTCACATCACACCAATTTTCAAAGGAGGTCGACGCAGCGAACCTTCAAGTTACTGACCGATGGCTCTTCTCTCAGTACCTTCAAAAATCACAGAGTCCCTAATATGCGATGGTATAAATGACTATTTACTGTCCTTAAATTTCTTCTCACCCCAACAGCATGGTTTCAGGAAGGGTTACTCTTGTATTACCAACCTGCTGACTGCGGTGGACAGATTGTCAAGCAGGGGAAGGTTGATATCATCTACCTAGATTTCTCAAAAGATTTTGATAAGGTTAACCATACATGTCTTATCAACAAGCTCAAACGATTGGGTATCAGACCACCTCTAATCGATTGCCTCACTTCATACCTGAAAAATCTACCCTTTAAGGTCGGGGTTAATTTCACTTTATCTCAGGCTATGGAATGTCCTAGTGGGGTCCCCTAGGGCTCTTCTTGATCTACATAAATGATCTTCCTCAACAGATAACGTCAGACTTATTACTTTTTGCCGACGACGTAAAAAATTGGAGAGAGATACGCAACCAAGACGATATACAGGCACTTCAGGAGGATCTGACTCGGCTTCGAAGTGTAAAGTAGTCCATCTGCGACATGTTGCAGACTACAGTTATAACTTAAGAAACTCCTCTTTAGTAATATTCCGAGTCGAAAAAGATCTAGGAGTCCTGGTGCCCTACGATTCAAAGTCTTACGCTAACTGTGACAAAAATGCCTTGCACTGATAACACTGCAGCGCATTCTGGTCAGTTTGACGGAAGAACTTTTAATATAATCTTCAATAGTTTTATCCGTCCCCATTTAGAGTACGGAAACATAGTATTTCCCCCTCACTCCAAAAGGATAAGGACACCCTGGAGTGTATCCAACGGCGAGCCACGAAATCAGTCCGAGGACTCAAATTTAAACCTTACGAAGAGCGCCTCCATTCACTTAACCTTTACCCATTAGAGTATAGACGTCTTCGAGGTGACCTGGTGGCTTATAGCATCCTTAACACTTCTGGACATCCTCTCAAACACCTACTTAAGCTTAGTTCGAACACTAACCTAAGAGGTAACACCCAAAAACTGGAAACACAATATGGTAGAACGGACTGTAGACACAACTTCTACTCCTTAAGAGTTGTCAAATGCTGGAATTCGCTGCCGGCCGAGCTAGTCCAAGCGACTTCTCAGGAGTCCTTTAAGAGGCAACTTGATCTATTCTTAAGGATTAAGGATAGTATCACACTATGATTTACTAATTTCTTTTCCTCTTTTATTGTTAACATACCTAGGTTCCTGCCTGGAGGATTTGGTGATCCCCTGCTACTAGACACGGAAGCCTGTTAAGCGAAAGCTTCTTCTATTCTGTCCACAACCATTTGAACTTTCGTCTAAATCCAGGACTTTGACATTATAAGATGATTTTCATATTGATTTGTAACCCGAATATCCGCTTGTATTGAGGTGTTAGGATGTGTTTTTAGACGACAATAGCTGCAGACAATTGACCGAATAAGGCAACGCTTGTTTACTTTTAGTACGTATCTATATGTTTCTGAACCTGTTATTGTCGTGCGTTAACTTGGGCATGATAGATTTGTTAGCTTTCAAAAGGATATTTGTTTCAAGTTTTTAGAAACTAATTGAGTGATAATAAGTTGTTTGATTGCAATAATGATTGTTCGTACTGATTCTATGTAGCCCTCAGGTTGGTGGATGCATGACTGCGAAATATTTGTTTAGTTCATAACTTTGTTGCCGTAAGGAACTGAAGGTTTGTTTATTGTCTTTTCTAGTACAAATTAGAACGTAATGTAGGGATGCATTTGAGTTTCACACTAAACATTTGCGTTTGTTTTCTAATAATTTTGTCTGCGTTACATATTACGCAGATAAATGTTTGAAAAGTTCATTAACATCTCATAATGTCTCTTTTTATCATTTAGGACCACTACATACGTGTAGAAAATGTCCCATAACTGGCTAGTTTAACGATTTTGAATGCCCATTTCTGATTCTACATTTTGTGTCAATTCCCAACACAAACTTTTAACTGTTTACACAGATTCAGCTCCGAATTCTCTCTCAGAACTTAATTGTCCTAATGTATTGGACTCAATTGGTGCCTTTGACCATGAAGGTAAAAGTAGTCGCATCTCTAATTCGGAAGCTGTTGGTAATTCTTTCGTCACTTTTGAGGTTTCTGAGACCGAAACATGTGCAAGCAATTTATCAGACGACTTTCAAACAGTTCCAGAATATTCATTGCATAATGAGGTTTACGTACCAGCAACGTTTCCTAGTACGTTGTGTCGTTATACAGATCAGATAAACACAGATAATTATGGAGATATTGTTACTCAGAATTTGTTATGGCTAGCTGAGGAAGCTGTACATGCACCTCTTGATGTTATGACGGAAATTCCCCAGGATACAAACCTCATGTCTAATGTGCACCCGAATTATAAAGCAGATAGTATTTTAGAAAGTCATCTTTATGTCACCCTTCCACCTCATTCAGAAATCCTCGGAGCTTCACAACCATATTACAGCTTCCAGGAAGAAAACACTACTGATAATGGACAGAGTTCTCAGCAGATCCATATGTATGTCGATAACACAGCCCAAACCTTTTCATCAGAGTTGGAAGTAACTTCAGATTTAGTTCGTGTAAGCGGTTTCACCAGTGAGTCAAAAGACAACACAATGTCGTGGCCAAACTCTTCTAGTGAAAGCTATTCCTATAATTCTCACTACTTCAAAGGTGCTCCCAATTTTTCCATGAACTCATCTCTATGTATTCATACCGTGGAACCACACGGAGCCAGTGGAGAAAGTTACGTGAATGGTTTTACTGTATACCAAGGCCCTTCAAGCTCCGATGAACTACTTGATCAGACTTTTGAATATCCAGTCTGTGATTTCTTTCCCACGGACGGTCATAGTTATACTTCCTACGACCATTCTAAACCATCTTACTATAATTCTTTTTCCGAAGGATTTAGTAGCGCCATAGTTTATCCAGATTGTGATCCAAACGGTTATGAAAGTGAACAGCATGATAGTATATTCGTCTCCAGCTTTCCAGACTCGTTGGTCACACAAGGTAATACCTATGTTTCCGCGTATTTAATTCCTGATCAAAACTGCGATTTTCGTTTAAAGCAGTCAAACAGCTATCCGGATTCTACGGTACACGTTCCTTTCTGTACAGCTTATGAAACAAATGCAAATAGTTTTCAATACAGTAACTCAGTCCAGTGTACACATGCATTTGAATTGCCTTCGGTAAGTTTTTTTGTGATCAACTGTTTCATTGTTTCTTTAAAGTGACCACTAATTAAAGTAAGGTAAAATACTTCAGTCTTGCTATTGATTGTAGATTAGTGTTAAATTCGGGAACCAAAAACTTGTCAATAGAAAACGTTCATGTTGGGACAACAGCACATAGCTGTTTTAATCTTATTATCATTATTATTATTTTTGATATAACCTAGTCATCCATGGCATTGTTATATTTCTGGGAAGTTGCGTATCATTTACCAGGTTTGTGCACTTGCGTTTAAGCCACACACTGGGCAGTTAAATATTATCTATAAATCTTATCCAAATCAAGTGGAGCGGATTTTGGGTCTGTTTCCTGCTGGTCCAGTGATAGATGAGACTTTTCGGGCACATATACTTGGAACCTATCTATGTGTTGTTTCGATCGTACTCATATTTTTTTCAAAGATTTTTCTGTATCCAGTTTGATGTAACTGTTCTGAATAAACTTAAGGAACTAGCTCAATAAACACTGAGGTGTGACAAGAACATTTATTTTAATGTAAATTGGCGTCGCATTTACTTTGCCGTGATGTCCTTGATTAGGACCGAAGTATCGAAATAAAGTTTGGAACGTAGTAAATTTTTGTGCTATTTCCTTTAACAAGTTCAACTGGTTTTGAACTAAAGTACTAACTTTGCAATGACTATTAACGGTGGATGTGAACAAAAGTAAATTGGGTATGGTATCAGTCATCTATTTGTGATTATCAAAGAAGCTAACGTAAATGAGGTCAGTCTAATTTCCACTAAGGAAAGTAGGTCATTAATCACTAAGTAGAATATTTCCAGCTTTCTCTGGCGTGAAATTATTCACATTTCCTCTGTTTATTTAACAAAGTAAGTGCAATTTAGACAATAATCTGCGTTTCATCAAACTGTATATTTACATGGAGCAAGAAATAGGCGATTTTAGTGAGCTATGTTTACTAGTTTCAGTTTAGCATTAATAGGTGGAACTCTTGACACTTTCTTAGGATTACTGCTGGTTCAAACCCGGAAAAAAGAGAAGGGTTAGGGAGTCAGTCTTTTGGTAGCACTCAACAACAATGTCAGAATGTTTGGGATGCGTTTCTCCTCCTCTAAATGCAAGTTGTTGCTCCATGACTGGCCTGTGTCAACATCTAAACTAAGGATAGGGAGTGAAGTAGTCGAACGCATCGACAACTTCACTTCTCTTGGAAGTCTTATCAGCCATGTTGGGTTGGCGTCTGACAAAATCTCTGCACGGATTCAGAAAGCTCGTTTGACTTTTTCCAACCTACGTCACCTATGGCAAATGCGAGATATCCGTCTATCAATAAAAGGACGAGTATACTGTGTGGCAGTTTGTTCTGTTTTACTTAACGGCTGCGAAACGTGGCTATTAAGATTGGAAGATACCCGTAAGCTACTCAGTCAGCTACAACGTAGGACCAGGCACATATGTGCATCGGTCCAGGTTGCCATACCTCATTAGCACAGCAAGATGAACACCGGATTCATAGGAGTGGTTAGGTCAAAGGTTGCAATAAGGATATAGTATAGGAAGAAAGAATTAGTTCGTAGACAGAAAGAATGAAGTGATTTTAGTCTCTTAGTTTAAGGGAAGACAGGGAGTGTATACACCGACGCCACTGTGATCGATTCTGAGCCATGTCACCAAGAGTCTCCAACCATTGGTTACGAAAGTCACGCGGACCCCAACCAAGTAGTCTGCATCTACCAACGTGGCTCAGACTAGAAGTTAGTGACTTCAGGCACTGATGCCACGTTTTGGTTTGGCCGCCCCTAACTTTCTTCCAACCATCCCCTACCCCGGTTAGCATTGCACGTCGTGGTAATCGGTGTTCAGGCATACGTAATACGTGGCCCAACCATCTCAGTCGATGAAGATTCATAACCTCATCAACTGATTTACCATCATTCCCTAATACCCTGCGTCTAACCTCACTATTACTTACCCGGTGATCCCAACAGATGCCAGCAATATTTCTAAGGCATCTGTGGTCAAATACTAGTAGCTTACGGGTGTCTTCTACTCTTAAGGGCCATGTTTCGCTGCCGTAAATTAAAAAAGAACGAACTGCCGCGCAGTATACTCGTCCTTTTATTGATAGACGGATATCTCGCCTTCGCCAAAGGTGACGCAAGTTGGCAAAAGCCAAACGAGCTTTTCGAATCCGTGCTGAGATTTCGTCCGATACCAACCCATTAGGGCTGATCAGACTTCCAAGATAAGTGAAGTTATCAACGCGTTCGACTACTTCACTCCCTATCCTTAGTTCAGGTGTTGACGCAGACCAGTCCTGAAGCAACAACTTGCATTTAGAGGGAGAGAAACGCATCCCAAACATTCTGGCATTGTTGCTTAGTGCTACCAGAAGACTCTGCATTTTCTCAGCGTCTTCACCAAACAGGACTATGTCATCTGCGTATTCTAAGTCGATAAGTGGACCTCCTGGAAGGAGATCAATGCCCGAGAATTCAGTCGACGAGAGTGTTATTTCCATCAATAGGTCTATGATGAAGTTAAACAAAAATGGAGAAAGTGGACAGCCTTGACGGACACCACTTGAGGTTGCAAAAGTAGATGACAGTTCGCCATAAGCCCTGACTCGACTAGTAGTGTTCGAGTAAAGAGCCTTCACAAGGTTTATGTACTTCTGAGGTACGCCTTTCAATGACAGACACTGCCACAGAGTCTCGCGGTCTACCGAGTCAAATGCTGCTTTTAAGTCAAGAAAGACCACCATCGTCGGACGCCGATAGGTATGCCTGTGTTCTAGAACCTGACGAATGGTGAATATGTGGTCGATGCAGCCACGACCAGGTCTAAAGCCAGCTTGGTTCTCTCGAGTTTGTAGTTCACGAGTCTTAGTTAGGCGTTTGATAATTATCGAGGCCAGTATTTTAGAAACTATGTTTGTTAAGCTAATCCCTCTGTGGTTGTCACATGATGATTTTGACCCTTTCTTATATATTGGGACGATAAGTGATTGCGACCAGTCAGATGGGATTAAGTCTAATTCCCAGATCTTAGCTAAAATATTAGTCAACTTAATCGCTAAAATTGGACCACCATCCTTAAAGACCTCTGGAGCCAATCCATCTGGACCAGCTGCCCTTCCTCGTTTCAGATTAACTATAGCCTTTTGAACTTCAGCAAGAGTAGGGGGACCTATTTCAATGTTCCATTCACACTGTCTGGGAATGGAGGGTAGTTGTAGAGTAGCTGAAGGCCAGCTGAACTGTTCTCTAAAATGTTCCGCCCATCGTTCTAAACGTCTGGACTGGGAGCAGATGAGAGTATCATCTTTTTCCGAAATAATCTCACTTACACTTGACTTACTAATTCCAGTTTCTTTTATTAGTCTGTAAAGCTGTCTTGTGTTCCCTATAGTCGCCGCCTTTTCCATCTCTTTTGCTTTCGTTACCCACCACTGCTCACGGTCGTTCTTTAGACTTTTTCTTAACCTAGATCTGATTTGTTTTCGCTCTTCATCATGTTCAGGACCTGATGGGACGAGTTTGCGAGAATCCATCAGTGTGACAGACCTTGAAGAAATCCACTGGTTCCTTGCAACTCTGTGGTTTAAGTCACTAATAGATGTCACTGCTGTTTCCACAGCTGACTGTATGCCCTTCCAAGCAACATCTGGGTCAGCCTCGTCTTTAGAACTACCTAATTGTGACCTCAGTTGTTCCTGGAACCTACTTTTGGTTTTCTCGTTACTCAACTCAGTTCTAACGGATCTTTTTAATGTGGCTTTTTTGCGTCCAGTGAGGCGCAAGCAGATGCGTACCCGTATTAGGGCATGGTCGGAGTCCAAGCAGGTACTCCAGAATGAGCGACAATCTTCTACCGACCCTCTCCAACGATGACTGATGGCAATATGGTCTATTTGAGTCCATCGTTGGTTTGGTGTAGGGGGTCGCCATGTTAGACGATGTCTCTCCTTATGCTTAAAATTTGTGTTTGCTAAAAATAAACGATTGTCTGAACATAGCTGCAGCAGACGCTCACCATTGTCTGTTCGCTGTGTCGGAATACTAAAATATCCACCTAAATGCCTTTCTGTTTGGTTTAAACTGCCTATCTGAGCATTAAAATCACCTGCTACGAGTACTATGCCTGAGCGTTTAGCTTTCTGAAGAAGTTCGGACAGCTTTCTGTAAAATTCATCTTTCACATCATCTGAGCTGCAGTCAGTGGGAGCGTAGGCAGAAACGACGAAAAGGCAACGACGTGTGTCCCTATCCTTCCGAGTTCTTACGTAGCCGTTCAGCCGAACAGCACATAGACGACTGTTGACGGGGATCCACTCTAGCAGTGCTTGTTCGGCCCTCATGCTTAGTGCTATGCCTACACCTGCCAGTCCACGAGAACTTGCCATCGGGTCACCAGATACACGAAGGGTGTACCTCGTCGGCTCTCCGTTTTGCCGAGGTGAGGTCAGGTGAATGACCACACTGGAATCCTGTATGCGTGTTTCGGAGACACAGCACACGTCAATGGTAAGAGACTCTAGGGTTTTAGCCAAGGAAGCCTGCTGACCAATTTGACATAGGGTTCGTACGTTGAAGGCTCCAATGTGTAGTTTGGAGCGAGGTTTCAGTAGACCTGGGACAGTATTTTGCGCACTAGAATCGTTGGCTATGGTGACACTTGAGGTGGAAGCCGAGAGAGGAAATTTAAAGTTGAAAGTCGATGTAGGAGGAATAATAGGAATTGAAGAGGAAGGTTGATTATGAATACAGTGGTCTTGAGTGCTGTTAGAGGTATGAGGGCGGTTTTCACTTCCCGGTTGCCCACACCGTGGAAGGGTTGTTCTGGAGGTACCTGAAAAGGAATTTGGATTAAAGGTGGTCTTAGTGACCTGAGAGCGTGACCGCAGTGCCCAAGGGACAGCTGCTTGAGGTCGGTCACACACGACCTTGTTATGGGTAATTTTTGTGTTAGCTCCGTACTTATTGGGACCTTA